TGAAACATAGTTTTTAGTCTTTTTTCCATTTAAAACTTGAACAGAAAAAGGAATAAACCTGATAGTGGATCCTTAAGGAATACACCTGATAGTGGTCAAACACAGAAGGAAGACATGAAATAGGAAGGGGAGAAGATTGGGGGTGAAATGACTAAAATTCATTATATACATGTATGAAACTGTCAGAATAAAACACTGAAAAATTAAAAATGAAAGATAAGTCTATTACAAATTTTAAATTCATAAATATAGAATATGTAAATATGGCAGTCAAATCTAGTGATTTCCCCATTGTTATTGGCTATTTAAATGAAATAGATTTTAGTATGATAACAAGTAGTAAAACTAGTTGTTTTTCACCAATGTACTTGAACATCATGGAAATTCAAGCTCACATTTTATTTATGCCACAAAGATACAGTTTATGTAAGCATCCAAATGAAGCTGGCCAAATAAACACCAAGAACACACTTTATGCCCATGCATTTATAACTACAGATCATTTGTGACCAGTTAGGGGCCATTACCAGACTATAACACAGATCAATAGAAAAATATGATCCAAATAACCATCACAACATGCATGTTGTATGAACATAGGCTGGTTCTCATGTTGCAGAAGAATAATAGAGACTAGAAGCTAAAATGTTGATATGTTTTGATGTTTTCTTCCAGATCTTGATATTACATGCACATCCTCTACTGTTATTTTTTGACCCATCCTTAGAGATAGAAAGCTGATTTTTGCATTCATTTTTGTCTACAGAAATTTTGTTATATCTGAGAACAAATGACAGATTCTCAATAAAGGCAAAAAACAATTCAGTAAACTTTGACAAATTTGAAAACTCAAACTCAGCATCAGTTTCCACCTCAGGACACTTGTCAACTCGTAGCAGCCCAGAGACTAAAAACCTCAATAGAAAATTCCCCCCAAAATGTCATACAATTAGATATTGAGACTTGCTGTGGGAAAGGGCTACGGAAGATGTATTAATAACTCCATTGTAAATTCTATAGAGCTGAATACTCATCGAGGCAAAAAAAAAAACCCTTAATCAAGCACAGTGCCTGTTGAGATTACAGTGATTTGGTTAGATAGGGATGTATCAAGCTAAGAGCAAAGGGAGAATTCCTCCTGGAGTAAAGTGATAGTATCATGATCCTGTACAGCTTTTACATAAACATCTGGCATTCAGTTTATGAATGAATAAAACCAAAGAGAACCATCTCAGGTATTTGAATTAATAGACAAAGTTGAAAGTACAACTAATGTGTTAAAGTAAGGACCAATGGAGAAAACAGATAAAGAGATAATTTTACCAGAAAATTGAAAAATTTAAAATACATATGCTCTGTGTGTGTGTGTGTGTGTGTGTGTGTGTGTGTGTGTGTGTGAGAGAGAGAGAGAGAGAGAGATGACATTATTCTTTGTTGACT